CCTAATTATTCTCGCTGGCCTTGCTGAGCTTGGGGCTATTCAGGGAGTTCTCCGATATGAAATCACTCGTACAGTTTCTTGTCGTGCTTGTGACTTTAAATATTTCCGATAGTGAGTTCAGGTCAGACAATAGAATATTTCAAGTAGGGCATTATAATAATATTCTCTCTGTTCGTAATTCAGAACAATTAGAAAGTCCAATCCGTTGTCTGATACATTATGGAAATAGACAATGAAAGAAAGTTGCAATTTTAGTCAGTCATTTATCATTCACTAGCTTCTAAACCAGACAAAAGTTTTGAATAACACTCAGGAGTTGCGATTTAATTAATTAGCGCTCGATTTATGTACATGGTCCTGCTGCATCAATTAATAACATGAATGACAGATGTAGAGGGTTTTAAATTGCGAGAGGCAATTGTGCTTAGCAAAACATTGCTAGTTGGAGATCGTCTAACCGCAAAAACATGTCAGACAACCTAGAAGCAGGGAAATAAGGAGAAAACCATGTTTAATGTGAGAGGAAGACGAAGCTTTAGAGTGAGACTAGAGACAGACTAATTGCGGACAATTGTGGAGTATTGCCAAGATAGTCTACAAAACTGTTTCGAATGTGCATAATGAATTATTCACTAATTCTGTGAATTACATATGAGTCTCGACATCAATGCGCATCATGATGTTGTAAATGGCATATTACATGTGGTGATATCAATATACCTTGTTGTATATAATTATGAGGTATTTAGTTAGTAGCCAAAGGACCTGTATCTAATACATCTCGAAGCATAGTAATTGAGATTGTGTCATGCTAATATTCACCGTATGTCTAATTCCCGATTTTCGCTCCAGTTTTGGATATCTTGTTTCCAACCGGGCACAATCGCTCGTCGATCTGACATTTACTTTTCTAAGACTGGGCGCACGTAGTTTGATGAGTTTTCCTTTTGAACTCAAAAGCTTACCACCTTGAGTTCTAGCCTTCTCTCTTTGTCTTTCAATTAGACCAGCGCGCCTCTCATGGCTTCTTGGCTCGAGGCTTATCGTAAGCTGTTCGTATAGTCAATAGTCGCTTACTTGGTTAATTTTTCTTGGTGCTTTTTTTTTTTTTTAGAGACAATTTTATTCAAATTGTGTATTTATTGCTAATCTTTTATTTGGTTGTTTTATATATTTCTGCTGATTTTATCTCTTTTGCGTCCCTTCTTACACTCGTTATTGTGGCTGTTTTGCTTCGCTCCTAACTATAATGAGTTGTTGAAAAAATAACTGACAGAGTTGTACCACATCTTATATAATCTCATTTTTAACCTTGTAGATGTTTGAATTGTTATTGCAGCATGTATGTGGAGAATTATCGAGAGTTTGTTTTAATCTAGCATTTCAGTGACTAAAATGCTGAACTTCTTGGCGTTGTGTAGATGATTATGGGTAATATATAAGTATTCTTTATGTATTAGGCTGATAGTTTTATAATACGTACTATACAAATTAGATTTGGCTTTTTTCTGGAGATTATCATAAAAAAATTGTTAATGTTTTTCCAATATTTATTTCTCTTTTGGGCATTCGAATAATTGAGATGAGTGTATGAGGAGGATGTACCCAGTTTGGAGAATTTAAATATTTCCAATATGCGAGTAGTAGACTCCATATATTTTGAAGTTGCTTACAATGCTGTATGCGCTTGAGCGATTCTTTATTACCGAAAAAAATCCTTAAAAAGAAATCATTGAATGACCTATAAAGTCTTGTCTTTTCAAATTTTAGTCTCCGTATGAATTGTTCATGAGTCTCAAAAGTTGAGAAAAATAATATACCTTTATGTTATTTAATTTAATACACTAAATATGGAATCTCCATTTCACAATAAACGGGTTAAAGCACATGGAAGTTCAACATTTGTATATTAACAATATAATGATAAGAGATACATTACAACAATGCCTTAAATTCTCAGTGCATCACTTCCTATGGGAAATGCAAATTTAATATATATGTCCAATGCTTTACTAAGAATACGGAGTATGCAATAAGAATCGCATTCACTATTATCTCACTCAATTAACTTTTTAATGTGGAAAAAAAATATTCTACATCAAATAATTGTCATGATTCTATCGAATAGAGCCTGGACAGCGTAATAGTATAGCAAAATCTATTCACTATAGAGTAGAGCTATTATAAACCATTGAATTATAGAGGTAAAGTCTAACTCCTAATAGAGTTCTATTTACAACTATACTGCCTATATAATAACACTGTTACCGCTGCCGCATTTACAAAGTTGTGAGAGAGTCATTCGACAATCATTGAGATCATAGGCCTAAAACTTTGTTACACATAAATAATAGTTTCAACAGCCAGTGCTGTAGATCATACGTATAATAAGCAAATCTATGCTTTCTTGTAAAGACATATTATCTCTACATAACAATCTGACTATCAACACTATTGTTGTAGTACATAGTCCACTTGTTAGTCATGTTATGTAATACATCTCCTTAATTGACTTCTCTACAAAACTTCATTATTTATGCACGACTATTGATATAGTACGACAATAGTACATATTGCCTCGCACTCAATAGAATATTTTGTTCGTTCCTTTCATTCATTTCTCTCAAAGAAAAGGTATAATTTTCATATCCTAAGTAATGGAGATTTGGCGAATCGCCATCAGTATGTTCAATAAGTTAGTCTGACAGAATCAAGTGAATCATGCACTATTCCTAATTTATATCTTTACGGTCAGGATAATCGATGGGAAACCATTAATAAGTCTTCATAGGTTTGCATTTCCTCATAATACAACACAGATTCTGAATTTTCCAAATATTAATTTGCAGCGATAAATTAACTTCAATAGAATAAATTCAAAAGCACAGGGATTTGTGTCCAGCAAGTATGCTGACAGATAATTGGTGCAGCTGGAGGAGTCACAGAGCCACTCACTTATCTGTGGAGACGGACATTGTTGTATTCGTTGCTACGCTGGGCCATTTGATTTAAAATCAAAACGCTCTAACACCAAGAATTACCCCTATTACATAAGACCACCACATATATTCCCTGATAATCTGTTCTGATAAAGAATTTTCTTTTTTTATTAAGGTTTCATCGAAACCTGCCCCAACCTCCAAGTCCACTTTGACATTTCTATGAAAATACACATCACAAATGTTATGCTAATTGCATGTACACAATATTGATATTGTCACTGTAATAGTCTAGTAGCTTACTTTTTAGACCTTTTATGTAATTTTACTCTTCTTTTCACACTCTCTCAGCTGATGCAAGAGATAGTCTGTGGCGCTTACCTCCTACTTATTGTCTTCTCTCTCTATACATAATGAATAAACAAGGATTAAGAGATGATTAAGTATATAAGTATAGATTGTGTCCAATTCATAAATATACGCGTCATGCAAAAGTACACGTCTCAGCAGAGGTTATGCTTAAGTGGCATATTAAATAATAGGGACACAGGTGAACATAGAAATATGGTTTATGACGTATTAGTATTGTTCAATTTGGGCTTCCACATTTAACTACACTTATAATAGCTAAAGTAACTTTTTTTTTTTTTTTTTTTTTTTTAGATAATTAATTATTTTTGCTATTTGTTTTTTTCTTTTTCCTTCACTGTTGGCTGTGCTGCAATAATGTATAATGAATCATTTAATCTTTTTAACTTATTTGAATTCATGCATGTATGTATATGTATGATTTCTAAATGTAATTGTTAAGATAGATTAGGGTTTTTGTAACAATAATGCTTTGATAAAATAAATTATGTTTCAAATTCTTTGATTCTAGAGATGAGTAGGGTTAAGGATTTAAATTCATGCATAACCTTAATTAAGGAGCTACATATCAAACTTAATTATCATAAAGCTCTTATTAGCTTGAATTTTCATATCATAAATTCTTATTAATTTAATCACTAATATGAATCTCCAAACGTAATTTATTCTAATAAAAACAAATCTATATGATATTCTTGATCATTTGCATGCTTCTGAAAGAAGAAATCTTCTTTTCACCCATTACTATAATCTATATAATGCATCTGAAGCTGGATGATGAATCTTAGGTTAAACATGATAAGTAAGTCGTAATGTAGTGCGATTAAATGAATTTCCACTGTATTATCCATATAGTCAGATCTGTAATAAAACAATTCTTTCTTTCAATTTTTAATAACTTCCACAAAATTGGTAAAAACTTTCTTGATTCTAAAACTTCTCTCAGACTAATTAGAATGTTGTATATGATTAGCCAAATTTTCTTTCATTTCTCTCAGAAAAGTTAATTTCTCTAGTAATGAATTCGACATGATCTATTTGAATAAGCAGTTTCTTTTTTACTATTGGAAAAATGATTTGTGCATTAATAAAATTTTAATTTTTGTAAATAACTTCAATAGAATAAATCAAAGTTGAGTATGAAAAGGTGCAGGGAGGAAACACATTGGGGATGGATGAGGGGTTTAAACAAACAGTATTACTATTTACCCTTTCGCTGTAATTTTTTTTAGGTTTACCCCTCCAAGCCATTAGTTATCAAATAGTATTGCATAAATTATCTTGTTTTTTTTATTATTTTTTTTCTCTGTGAAAGTGCTGGTCCTCCTCTTTTTCTTATATATAAAGATAGATGATTAGTATTATTAATTTTGTCATTAAACCTAGAAATATTAGAGTTCTAGTGTTAAAATAGCAGACAAGAATATTTGCTTGTGTATTATTACTATCAAAAGTAATGTAATATATTTACTAGATTTTGTATGTATTTTACAATTTCTATTTCCAAGTTTTTAGTATTTTAGTCATTCTTTATTATCGCATGTGATCACATTAAAACTGAATAACTATTTAAATAATCATTTGAGGAAAGCCTTTTTCTATGCAAATTTTCCTGCTGAAAACTAGCTTGTATTATAAACAAGCAAATGATTCAGTCAAGTAAATCTGTAATGCCATGGAAGAAAACCATCGTAACATAAATTCATAAGATCTGCAAATTATTGATTCATAGGGAACAAACATTTATTGTCTACAAGCAAAAATGTTTCAGAAGTTGAAGAATTTTATGACCCAGAGACAGGTTTGAGCAAGAGACAACGAGCTGTTGACTCATCGCTTCATTAAGGCAGCAACAACTCATTCAGGAAGAAAACCTATTACTGATATTTTCATAAGCTACACTCGCAACTGACATGAAATTATACAGAACAAGTTTCATTGATTTGCAGATGATTAATAAAACATCATTATCTACATTATGGAAGCTTCACATCTTTGACATTGTGTAATCCATCACATCGACAAAGAAATCTGCACCCACAGAATTTACCAAATGGGAAACGTTGGAAATATCTGTATTGCTTTGGTAATTGGAATAAGAAAAAGAACATGTGCCTGCATCTGTATTGCTTTGGTAATTGGAATAAGAAAAAGAACATGTACCTGCATCTTCTTTGGTAAAACAGAGAGGAGGAGTAATTCTGAAAACATTTCCATAGAATCCACCTTTCCCAACCAAGACTCCCATTTCTGCAAAACAAAAAAGAAAAAGGATCTGTTAGAAACTAGAAATAAATATTAAATATATCTAGAAGATGGGTAGGAGAAATAAAGACCTTTCATCTGGTCCATTATATGCAAAGTTTCATTCTTTGCAGGAGTTTTGTGTTGGTGGTCAGTTACAAGTTCAACTCCAAGCATCAATCCTTTTCCCCTCACATCTCCAATAACTGCAGAAACCAGTTATAATACAATCTAGCATGCTTAGAAAACCAAATAGGAAAAAAAAGGGCCATAAGAGAAAAACTAAATCGAAAATAGTGCTTAATATTCGAGTTGTATATAATTGCAGGATAAGAATTTCAAATATTACCATCTGTTTCACATTGCTTCTTACACGGATTAAAATATTTTAGATCTATGATCAGAGGCAAGCTAAAGCTGAAATTTTGTTAAGCATAAACAAGTGTCCAATAAATAAAGTTAGTGGTAAGAAAGATGATTTACTTTCATATTTATCTTTGAGTTCGGTTAGTCTCTTTTTCAGATAGGTCCCCACAACAAATGCATTTTCCTGAAGTTTTTCTTTCTCGATCACTTTCAGAACGGCCAGCCCTGCAGCAGTGCACACAGGATTTCCCCCAAATGTGTTGAAGTAACTGCGGCGCGTCAATACTTCAGCAATCTCAGGAGTCGTGACAACAGCACCGAGAGGAATACCATTCCCAATACCCTGAACGTGTCAATGAAAGAAAGAATTGTAAACTTCAAATCCAGATTCTTATGCTTGGGAAACATGCATAACAAGGGTTATAAGTGTGTTTTAAATGATTAAGGAATTATAAACCCATGGCACATAGCCTGGTGGGGAAAGATAAACCAGAACTAAGGCCAAGATCTACATTGAAATGTCATAATCCAGAGAAAATTACCCTCATAGAAAGCAGCTACCTACATTACTATTTTAGGATAAGTCTAAAGCAAAAGGATGAAAAAAAAAAAACTAACCTTTGCCATTGTCACTATGTCAGGAACAACACCCTGGGACTCAAATCCCCAGAAATGACTTCCAGTACGAGCAAACCCAGCTTGAACCTCATCAGCTATACAAAGGCCTCCTGCATTTTTAATGCTTTTATAAACGGCAGGCAAGTAACCTGCGGCCAGTTCTATAATTCCACCGACTCCCTGTTATATACAAGAAAGTAATTTCCCCTAGATAAAATTTCTAATTTTCTACAAAATTATTACCTGTATAGCTAAGATAATTTCCTAAGATAATTATTACCTGTATAGCTTCAGATATAAATCCAGCAACATGGCCACTTGTCCCAAAGTTAATGATATCTTGGACATCTTTTGCATACTTTTCTCCATCTGAGCCAAAAACACCTCTATATGGGTCTGGGTTCAGGGCATGATGAACTCCACTCTGTTGTGAACCGAGGATAATGCAAATATTTGTTTACCATCTTTGTAGTGACAGAAGCATATTGAATAAATTGCAAGAAAAAAGAGAGCAAAAAATATACAATTTGAAATTCCAATAAAAAAAAAGAGAGATTTCCAACCATACATGCAATTAACAACTTGTAAATTGCGCCCTATATTGTTTAGCAAACATAATATATCTTGCCAAAAGGATAATCAGAGCTAGCCCAGGTATTAGAACAGCAACTTACTGTATCCTAAAATGACCTGCTTGGTTCTGTATCATTCCCTTTCACGCAGAGTGGGTCCACTTCTTTCTATGCAAGAAAGCGACCCTCTTTAAAGTTTTATATGCTGACAAGAGATTCAAAATATCTCCTTTGATGAAGCATTAAAAGCATTGTTTTGAACAACTAAGCCATACGGTTGAGTTCATCTTAGTAATTATATAGAAGATCACAACAAATACTTGTCTCTGTACTGTAGTGCTCCCTGTAATAGCCTTGATAATAAGTTTATTACAGCCGACAATAAAAAGTGGTCCTTTTTAACTTGAAAGGTATGGCTTATAATATGTCACACCTGTCCTAACGCAAAATATTCACAACCTTTACTTGAGAAAATCATCAAATTATTTTTTCCTTTTTCACTACACCATCAAATATGTTTTACTCGGACAACATTGAAAATCTTTAAGTTCAAAAGGGTTTAATGCACAAATACATATACCCTCTCTCCACAGAATCAATGAATTCACATCCAATTTGACAGCACCTTATTATAATAATTTTTATTATGATACCATTAATAGGCTATGCACAAACTATGTGCTAATCTTTCACATCGCGTGGTGCATTGGACTTGACTATATAATCAATATTCAACAGTAAGTGAAGTTAACGCCTTTCCATTTTTTGTATGATTCTCGTTACATCCAAATATGTCATGATCATCACCTAACTTCACTATATATGCACATACATAAACCATGAGAATATACTCTGTTAAAAAAAAAAAAATGAGAATATACCTGTATAACATTGAATTTCCAGATGGATTGAGCAGTGGCACCCATTGTCCCGGCTGCATTGCCATGGTATGCATTCCGCAATGATATTATGTCATGAGATCCTGTATATAATCTTGCAATCATCATGGCCAACTCATTTGCTTCTGTACCAGAATTTGTGAAGAACACAACCTGTGCACAAATTCAAAAATTTTTAAAAAATCTTATTATATATTTAAAATTTAATATCAGACAGCGCAATCTTTTTGTTATTGGAAACTCAAAATTTCAGATTGATTCAAAGGCTTTAGTGCACCTTAAGATTGCCAGGCATCTTAGAGGCTAAGGCCTCAGCGAAATCAGCAATGGCATGATTGAGGTAGAGTACGGTGGAGTGTTGCAAGCGCTTGATCTGGTTGACGATTGAGTCGATTATATCTGGATGGCAATGACCGCAGCACACCGTAGCAATCCCTCCAAAAGCATCAAGGTATCTACGCCCGTTCTCATCGAATAAGTACTGCATCTTACCATCCACCACGTTCAACTGCCAGAGAAACACAACAGGAAGGAATATCCCATGTCACATCAGTTTCAGATCCAACGGCCCAAAACACGCCAATAAGATTAACAAGTTAAAGTTTTAATTTTTTTCATTTCATTTCATTTTCCCCATAAACATAACCGTAAAATTAACAAGACAAACATAATTATCAATTCGTAAACAGCCATTAGAACGTTAAAAACTTGTTTAGGTTTTGAAAGCGAAATATTGATTTATTTATATGAAATTAGACGTTAAAAACATTGCTCTTAATAACGATTAGCGCAATTTAATTAAAAAAGCTAAAATGATTTGGACTCACGGGTTTTTTATAGAAGTGGAATAAAGAAGGGCTGAGAAACTCTTTTCGCTTAGTCATAATCTCTTCGCTGGAGGGACCGGTATACGGCGGAGGAGAGTAATCAAAAGGGGGCATTTTGGGGATAAGAGCGTCATTGTCAAGGACGGAAGCCTCATTCTGAGCAAGCTGAGAGAAGCAGCGATGGATTGAGAGAGAGCTTCTTCCCGAAAGCAACCTTTTGGCGACAAATCTCTGCATCTTTGTTATGTCTCCGTAAATGCAGGATTATCTGAACTGAATGATAGGAGAAATTGGGAAGAAGCAGAGAAAGAGAGACAGAGAGGGTCGTATAGTGGCAGAGAAGGAGTGGGTTTGTTTATAAAGCAGAGAGAGGATATGACGTGTGTATTGATGGTTTGTCGTTTGTGGACGAGTAATACTGATAAATGCCTTCCGTTACGTCCCGAATTAGCTAACCATAAAAATGAAAAAAAACATTCGTTGAAAATAAAATAGCGATTCGTTTTTGCACTGGCATTCGATAAACGAGCTTACTTATTAAATTAATCAAACGAATCCAAATGAATTTTTTTTATTTAAATTTTGTGCAAATTACGAGCGACGTTACTCATATTAATTACAAGCATTGAATTAAATTGTTGAATATTACAGAGCTTTTATAGGAGATGATTGAAAAAAAAAAAATTCTTTCTCCGTTTAAAAATCTGTTTTTATTTCCTTTTTGAATATCACAAAATAATAATTCTATTTTGTAATTCTTAATTTATAGTTTTAAAGTGTAATTTATTTAATTCTCACATAAAAATGTATTTATAATTATATCAATTATTTTTTAAAAAAATTACAAAATGATAAGGATTTTATATTATTATTATACTTTAATATATAAAAATATTTCTGAAGTTATTTTATAATATTTTATTTTTTAGTTATCATTTTCCATTTTCTATTTTTCATCGATTTCAACTAAAGTAATTAAATATGAGGATTACTCTTATTGTCTAGTTCACAATATTAATTATAAAGTTGGTATTCAAATTATGTTAATTTTTTTTACTGTCTCAATTTTATTTTTTCTAAACTGTTTCTCCTTTTGCTTTGTTATCATTTTTTTTTTGTTGATTTTATTTTAAAATATGAAAGTTATAAATTTTTTTTTTAAAATATATATACAAAGCAGTAAAAAGTATATTAAAAAGGTTTATGAAGTTGTTGAGATAATATTTATTGAACAAAACTGCATAAAAAATTGAATTAAATATATTCAGTTGGATAAAAATTATACTTTCACATATTTAATTGATGAAAATTAAATAGAAAAATGGATAAAATTGAGATATTAACTATGCAGTTATTTTGAGCATGACTGATAGCGAACTGCAGGATAGCGACACGAGATGATGCTAAAGCCAGAAATCGCAATTGAGAAATGTTCCACGTGTAAATCGCGAGTTGAACATTTTCTCAATTATAAATGAAACAAAAATTGGTAGGTAGATAAGGTTTACTATAATGGTAATGCTCCAAACGAAAATTAATTAATCGGTTTAATTCTTTACCTTTAAATTTTTAATCATAGAGATTATCTTCTTCTAATTGGTTTCCCCATTTTCAATCATGAGATTGAAATTTGAAACTTTCAGAAAAATTAATTCATGTATCTTATTTCATTTTTATTTGAATATTTAGCCCATCCCCTTTTATATCGTTGTAGTCTTATTCTTTTAAAGTTTAAAAATTTAGAGATACGTAAATGAACCGTTTCATTCTGAATCAAATAAATTAATTATATAATAAAAATTGCATTGATTGATTTTTCAAAATCAACCAAATTGAATTAAACCAAAATAATTAAGCATCAAAATTTTTAAACCAAATCAAATTATTTTCAAATGAACCAAATTGAATTTTCGAATCAAACGATTTAATTAGATGTCAATTAAAATCAAATAGTGCTCACTCCTGTTAACTTGAATTGGATGGATTTCTCTTTCTAGTGTGTTCATGTTGTTTATAAAAGAATACATATATAGTTTTTAAATTTAGATCGAATTGGTCAATTTGATTTTTTTTAATGGGTCAATTCAATCGATTTAATCGAAAGCGATTTAGATTTTTTATTTGAGTTTGCTATTTACCTTGAAATATTCAAACTTGACAATTTACTAAGTGATCACCAAATTAACTGCTAGCTTTGGCCATCAACCAGCTAAATTCATTCAAAATTAACTGATTTAAACTTGGTTGGTATATGAAGATTAAAAAAAAAAAAGGATACGGCAATTATTATATATAAAAAATCGTAATAATGATAATTATTTTATGGCTAAAATCTCTATTTTCTTACCCTAATAAGCTTTATTTTCCATGTTTCATGTAACATCTGTTAATTTAATACATTGAAAAGGACAGTGAAGTCAATATTTGAAATTTTGCTTGGTTAATTTTAAAAGGTAAAATATGATATAATGCCAATTTTTTAGGAGGTTAAGGTTTGTGAAATTATGGAAAAGATCAAATTTTCAATAAGCATTATTTTAATGTTAAAAGATTTATTTTATGGTGAATGAAACAGGAAAAAAATATACTAGTTTCCCTTTTTGACTATTTTAAATTTTTAATAGATGCTCTAAACAAAATTCACCTCTACTAATAAATAAAATTTACTAATTTTAAATCACTATTATAATAATTAACTTTAAAGTTTTATTCGATAATACTAAATGTTATAATAGTTATTAATTATTTTTACAATAGAATAAAATGAAAATGTTGGATAAAAATAATTATAAAGAAAAAGTAAAGGAAATGTTTTTATATTACGAGTAGGGTTTTGTTAATTTATAAAAAAGTAATAGGTATAAGTGTTAAAAACTTATCTATTAATTATTATGAAATGCTAAATCCTAAATTGGGATAACATTTGATTAAACACTTTTTTATATTTGAAAAGATATTATATAAATTATTTTATCGAACACCGTAACTATTAAAAATAATATGCTGAGATAGTCAAAATGTTAGATATTAGTATTTTAAAAGCTGATGTCAAATACAACATAATTATGTCAATTAGGTGGTGGTTTGGTTAATTTTTTCACTTATACGAGGAATAGAAGGTTTCGATTTTAAGTTTTTTAGACCACACTTATTTTTATCAGTCGGGTAAATCAAGGGGAGAGCTACTCTCTATTGTGTTATCTCGATCTATATAAGCCTCTAATGAATTAAAAAAATATAACATAATTATAGCAATTTTTTTAATCAAAACGAATGGTTTTTCTTACCATAAAAAAAAAAAAAAAAAAAAAAATTATGCACAAATACTATGCAATATATAAATCATCCTGAGATTGGGAGTGATGTTAACCAATCAATCTTATTGAAGTCTACAATTTTTTTTAACTGTCTTCTGAATATTTAAATGAATTTTGAGACCTTAGGAGAGCTCGAGTTTTTCTCCTAACACAACTTCTTTGCGTGATATTGTTGACATCAATATTCTGGCTATGTAATATTTACTTGCGCGAGGTCTAATCGGAGAGATCTATTATTTTAGAATATTACTGCATACAGTTATAAAGAGTTTTCTTGTGCTGTCTTTGTTGTTTAAAATATCTATAACTATCAGGGAAACTAAAGGAGCGGACAGATAATAAAAACGATTATAATAAAGTTCCTTAAGAGTAAATCTTTTATGAAGATTCTTCTATTTTGAAAAGTAAAGAGCTTGTTGTAATGAGAGTGTATTATTTCAGCTGAGGTTTCAGGTATTTGCGGAAATACAGAAACTGCCATTAAAAAATTTGAATTAAATATATCAGTTGGGATAAAAAAATTATAAAGCCCTTTCAAACATAATCCGATAAAAATATTCGACTTGTATATAGCTAGTACCATTAAATATTAATAGAAAACAGAGACAATAGAGTTAATACACACCATTGAGATATTTATCCCCTGATTAAACAAGCAATTTGCAGCAAGATATTTCCATTTATATTTCTTTGTTAGCAAATGAGACAGAAATACTGTCGCAGCGAGAATATCTGCAAGGATAGCGGACATGATTAATCCAACCACTACGATGTCAGATGAAAGTTGAGACTTAAAAGAAGCGGGCGAAAGAATATAGCAGTAGAGTCGCAAAATTGGAGATACTAAATAAATTGTCTTCTTCCACTATAGGCCATAAATCGAGACCGTTGACGTTGAATACCGCTGATCATTCTTAAGTTCTCGCGCTAGAGATTATCTAAAAACTAGAAAATAGACAAAATAGAAAGCTATGGTAGGTTTTTCAACATACACTTGATTCACAGAGTATATTTACATTATTCAGAATGGTTGAGATCTTTCTGCTCCAAAACCCAGAAAAATCTTTAATATAAATTCGGAGTTTTCTCATTAATTTCTTCTATAATCCTATGTATAACATTTTGTTCTTTATAAATTCATCAATGAGATTATCTTCTTCTATGCTCTAAATTGGTGTGTCCCCATTTTCAAAATCAATGGAGATTGAAATGTTGAAAACTATTCCAGAGAAAATAAATTAAAGTATCGCGATTTGTAGAATACTCTGTAGGTTGGTAGTGCATTTCTCATTAATATTATATATGAACTAACTCCTTCTATAACCGACAACCCGAAATCCCGAAACGCGTATATCTATACCTGAAACGCCAAAATTGAACTCGATGAGTACTGAGTAGTGCTCATCCTATCTCTAAATATCTATACAAGTCGGTAAATTAGTTGAAAAATTAATCACAGAGCTACCGTAGTAGATAGGCGAACTGCTGACAATAAAAACTGTAAAAATGAACGCGAGAGTATGTGCAACATTTCGAATCTTGAGAGCCTTCAAGGATATAACAAAGTTAACTGGAATATAAATCGCAAAGCGGAATTGCATTGGGGGATGATTTTTCAAAAAACTCATAGACCCAACAAGAACTTGAATTGAAGACAACACCAACGTAATTAAGGCATCAAAAATTTTTAAACGTGTAAATCTCTATTACAAGCATTATGAATATCCTTTGTTATTCCAAATGGACCCAAGACTGTTGAAGGGAGAGTCTCTCTTGTCGCGACGGCAGCATGCAAAGGCGAAATTTTATAATTAGAGTGTTGATCACATCTAAAATCAAATAGTGCTCACGCGGTCACTTTGTTTGAGAGCTGGAGAGTTATGGAAGTGAGCACCTGTGTTCAGTGTCTTTCTAGTGTGTTCATCCACGTGGGAGCAGCTCCTGGAGTGGGCGGGTTTGTTTATAAAAAGTGTGAAGAGATACATAATAACAAAAATAAGTGACCTTTTTCAAAATTAGATAGAAACAGTCAACCATTGGTCATTTGATTTTTTTTAAATTCGGAGACGATCTATTGACCAAGCCCCATCGATGTTCGAGACGATGCGAGAGAAAACTCCGAATTCCTTAAGGAGATTTTTTATTTAGTTTGAGAGTATACGTTGCCGTGAAATTATGTTATCTCTCTAATTTATGGAGACTAATCATCAATACTTGACAGACAAAATTAATCCTAAAAAAGATGAGTTTAACAAGCAGCCACAGGCTCTGGATACCAATAAGATATTTAAATAAGCCGTAGCTAGCTATATAAGAGTGTCTCTATTCTTATTTCAAAACACTCATAAGCAATCATTAGAATGCAACATCTTAATAATTAAACTATGAACTATTCATACAAACCTATATCTGGAGTTATAAGGGCTTATTTATGATGAGAGATCTTAAAAACAAAACCAAATAAATAGAAGGCAGGCGATATTATTACACACGTCCTAATAAGAGGTCAATTTTATATATATTTAATCTATAACTAATCCTTATATACAAAACAATATAAACTCCGCGCTGGAAAAATTAATCAAGTGGAATTATAGTTTATGGGCTAAAGATCGATCATTTGTATAATATTTACGTTAACCCCCACGACTTATTCCACAGCTTTAATAGTATCTTTCCATGTTTGTCAATGCGTAGAGGGATACGTCGTTATACGTTTTAATTTAAAGTGAGCACATTGGCTTAAATTCAATATGTGATCAGTGAGAAGTCATAATACTATTTGTGTATAATCTGAGTTTGTGAGCCTCAATCTATGTGTTAACATTTTTACAAAAAAGTAATGACTGTTCTTATATATCATATTTCTTTTTGATATTCTTTTATTTCAAAAGCCCAGAACTTGGCAACTAATTTTTTCTACGAAGAAGTGTTATATAAGTTCTATTATGTCGCGAGAATGGAACTTTATAGTGGAGCTGACAGAGACAAGGATTGTTCTAATATAATTAAATTTTCTAACACTAAGCATCAAATTTTTAAAAATACACATTGTTAATATAATATAGATTTTCTTAATGATTCTATATACGTGATATATGAAACTATGCCACTTGGGCACAAAAGCCACTGAGAAAAGATATTCAAAAATAAATTAGAATCCTTAAGAGGGTTTCCCCAGTCTGTTGAACGGCGATAAGTCATAGAGCAAGCTTAAAATTATTTTATTCTATGATTCAATGAGTGTGGTCTGGCAATATTAAAAAATTACTAATATTCACACCTACAGAATCACATTATAGTACAGTCGCTAAGCTTAAACATATGTATATAGCAACAAAAAGAACATGTCTTAATGGTATTATCGTAAATATTTTAAACAACTATTATCGAAACCATAATTAAAAAGATATTGATTTAAAGAATTACTTGTTCTACAAAGCTTCTATTGTTTGACTTTCCCTCGCTATTTATGTAAAACTACTAATAGTCAGTTATTAGGTAACAGCTTACAATAGAATGTGATATTAATTATTTTTACAAAAGAATAAAATGAAAATGTTGGTATAAAAATAATATAAAGAAAAAGTAGAAGGAAAATGTTTTTTACTTTACGAGTAGGGTTTTGTTAATCTTATAAAAAAAGGTAATAGGTATACAAAGTGTTATTAAAAACTTTATCTATTAATTATTATGAAATGCTTAAAATGTCCTAAAAATTGGGATAAATTTGATTTAAACAACTTTCTTTAAATATTTGAAAGATATTATATAAATTATTTACTCTTCTTGTAACCACGCGACTCGATAACTTCATTCAAGCAATAAAAAATAATTAATTATACTTGGCTCGGTCAGAAGCAATTTAGATACTCAAAGATATATAAGCCTTAGATGTTTTGGATATGTTGCAGTATTTAGAATTAAAAACAGAGACTTATGGTCATGATACTAGCCATCAATCTATTATATTACAAAGTTCATAACTATCAGTGAAATGAGATCATGGTTTTGAATTCATTATATTCTATCAAAAAATATTTTCTTCTATTTGATTCATCAATATGGACACTTATATATACACATACAAGATACTATAAACCTATTAGGAATCTAACTCCTAATAGAGCTCTATTTACAACTCCTAATAGAGTTTTATTTACAACTAATCCTTAACAAAAACAATTACCTCCGGAAAAATACAAGGGAAGGAATTGTAAATAGACGACTTTCCCTGACCTTTGCAAAGCTGGGAGCTTCGTTTATTAGGGATGCTTTCTTGTTTTTAGTACATTTTTTCTGAGTTTTACTAATCATCATACAAAAATATGACTTCTTTCTTTTCTTTTTTTCTTTTTTCAAACAGCCTGGCAACAATCTCAACACTTTATACAATACCAGATGGACTAGGAGCTGCAGCAAGGTTTGTTTATTTATTTATTTTAATACTCAAAAACACATTGGATTATTATTTCTATGATCAATCTATAATCTGCCACTGGGCACAGCACTAGAGTTTCAAATGAATTGGGAGCCGGAAATGCAAGAGCTGCTTATATATCTGTCTGGTGTGCAATATTTATTTCAACTACAGAATCAATTATAGTAAGCGCAGTTCTGTTCGCAACTAGACATGTCTTTGGTTATGTCTTCAGCAATGACAAAGAAGTTGTAGATTATGTCACAACCATGGCTCCTCTTTTATGTTTATCTGTCATATTGGACAGCTTACAAGGAACCCTTTCAGGTTAATCATCTATGCATTATATATTCTGCTGCAAGCATTAACAGTTAACCTATGTTTGGTGCAAGTTAAAACAATATAATCAAATGCATTTTTAATACAAATCTACACTAAAAATCATTTGATTACATTATATTCTATCACGACTCATCAAACGTAGCCTGATTCTTCGACATGTGAAGATTATCTGTTAATAATTGTCCAAAAAATGCAGGCATTGCTAGGGGATGTGGGTGGCAGAATTTGGGAGCTTATGTTAATCTAGTGGCATACTACATTTGTGGAATTCCAGCAGGAGCCATTTTAGGGTTTTGGTTAAAATTTAGAGGAAAAGGCCTTTGGGTTGGTTTACAAATTGGTTCCTTTCTACAAAATGTTCTGCTTGCTATAATAACAAGCTGTACAAATTGGGAAGAACAGGTCTTTGCCTCCTCTAATATAACCAATTGTTCTGCTCTGGCTTTGTTCTGGCTTTTAAGGACATCTGGCTTGTTTTTTGCAGGCAACCAAGGCAAGGGAGAGGTATTTGAGGGGAAGCATGTAAGAGAAGATGGATTAGAGTGAAAGAAGAATTTTTGCAAGCAAAAATTTCTGTCCTTGAACCTGTAAAAAAGGATTTTCTTCTTGTAAAAATAGAAACTTTTAAAGTAAAAGGGGACATGGGAAAACTAATCCTACCATGTGATTAACAGAAGAGTGATTATTTTGTAAAATTATTTTTTATCTTCCTTTCAGTTCATGTTTCTGACAACCAATGCAAGGTATGTTTGGTCTAACCAGGTACAATTTTGTTTTTTTTCGCTGAATATGATAATGTCAAAATGATCTTAAATTGCCAAATGGATAAGTTACAGATACTTTCCTTTAAAAAAGAGAAAACTCATTGGTATTTGAATGTTAAATACCACAAATTACAAAAAATATTTTTTACAAAAACAAACAGAATTATAAAAAAGAATGGGTTTAATTTTGTTGTAGGAAAAATCATAAAAAGATAAAAGCATTCGCTAGATATTAAGGCTCCATTTGTTCAAAACACTACTTGCTTTTTACTATTTGATTTTAATATTAAAAATTAATTAAAAATATTGAAAATATAATTTATAAAATATAAAATATTCAAAATTATTAAAATTTTACATTTTAAAAATTTATTATTAAATATAAAAGATATAAAAATTAATAAATTGTACTGTCGCAGGCAACCTATAGTGGTGTCTAGTGACCGACGGAGATTAATAATAAATTGATAATGGTGAAAATATTTGAAAATTGTAAAGAAAAAAGGAAAACTCATTTTTCTTTAGATTGACTTAGTTTTTAAAATTAAAAAAAAAAAAAATTATGTTGATTGATTTTTTTTTTTCAAAGTACCCCAATTATTAGAAAATATGATACATATATATACAAATGAAAAATAACTACTTGTTTTATAGATTTTTTTATTGGTTAAACATTTTAATTTTAAATTTTTTTAAAAATTTCACTATTTATCAAAACTTAGGCAGTGCTCATAAACGAAGCCGTTTTATAGAATAGCTACAGTCTCATGAACATCTTCTCTGCCTCAAATCTGAATTTGGCGTCAACATCATAAACCCCAAAAACCCAAAGCCGAAAAGCGTCTATAGACTCCATACAGGGAAAGAGAGATGGGGAAAGCAGAGAACGAGCGATTGAATCAAACGCTTAATTCTCACTTCAACATCATTCACGAAACCTTGCAGGTTTTTTTTTTTAACATAAATCTTTGTATACAATTTCTTTTTTAATTTTTCAGAAGTTTATATAATTTTTTGTCTGTTTATTTGTGTGTATTTGAGTAGTTGTTGGGTCAGACACCATCTTCATCTCTTGATAAAGTGGGTTGGGAGGAAGTAGTGAAAATGGGTGACCAAGTTTCCAAGCAAGCTACTTTTGGTACAATACACCTCTTTTATATCTTCTTCAATTCTTCTTTTTCGTCCTTGATCTTTTCATTTGCTTTTTTTTGCTCTTATACGATTCTTCTATGATGGGTATGTTTTAAATCCATTTGTGTTTCTTTTTCTTGGGTGCCTTCTTCAATTAAGTGTATTAACATTGTTTTATGTTCTGGGATTTTCATGGCCAAGTGATCATACTTACATCGGATTCTGTTGTCTTATGTGTCTAGGTAATTTTTTTTTTTGTCTTGTAACGTGGTTGGTAACACGAATAATGTGTTTGAAGTTTGCTGTATAAAATGGAGCTTGAAAATGTGTGGAAATACATTAAACTATTTATTCTTGTTATTGGTTTGTGCTTGCCAATGATGAATAATGTTGACATGGAGTAGATTCTTTATGATCAGCAGCCAATGGTATATCACTGAGGTTGTTCCAAAGTTTATTTATTTGGAAATTTAATTTCTATCATGTATTGGGGATGTCTTGATGGTTAAATATACTTTTCTAGATGAAGCAAAGTAAAAAAATACTGGATTTTGTCCATGAGCCATCTTTTTGGTTTAGAAACGTCAAGTGATTGGTTAGTATAAGGCTGTTTGTTTTTAGCTTTTTATGTTTATTCAAATTCACATAAGAATGATTCTTTTTTTTTTTTTCTTTTTTTTAAATGTAGTGCTGATAGTTTTCTTAGTGACCATCAATGAAAGACTATCTTTTGTTTATCCAATTAGTTTGTTCACCTTTTTGGTTTTTGGAGATGATAGAAAGAAAGTAGTTGTTGTTCCCAACAGAAAAAGTGCATGATGATAAAAAGAGATTTGAGACCAATTGTTTTTCTCATATGGAGGAAGAACTAGTTTCTCTATTTTTCTGCCTGGCGTGATGTTAGATTCAATTAATTGATGTTTTCTCCGGTATGCAGTTGGAATGCTTTGGACTGGGGAAAAACCAGAAGCGAAAGCCATTGAGGAGAACATGGCAACATACTTCAATACACTGCAGGGTTTCCTTTTGCTTTCTCATGGAAGTACACTGGGTGCAGGACCTACTCTTTCTTCTTGCATCCATGCATCTGTGAAGCAAGTTGTTGATTGCAGCTTTAAGTTGATGATGGAAACTGTATCTTCATACGGTAAAATCTCTCTCACATGTACACTCACACAAACAAAATCATGTGCAAATACCTCCCAGATATACCATGGGAACACACACACTAGTTGGGTATGCCATTCCATCAAATAGGTGGCTATGTTTCCTAAGATCAGTGCATATCCTTGTAGGAATTTTAGTGTGTTAACGAAAAAGTAGGATCAATCTTGGACATTATCTACAATGTAGTTTTCCAGAGCCATGAAGTTGAATTAGTTTCAGATATGCTTTAGCTGTTCTTGAGTTTGCCAGCAGGTCAAGATTGAGATATAATGATCTGTTTGATTTAAAACAATCTTGGAATCCTTGCCCATCAATCTAATTTGATTTTTCTTTATTTACTTTCCCCCAAAATTAAAACCTGCAGGGTCTCGCGACAAGGACTTAAAACTTGTAGTCCCCCAGTTGGTTGGTGCAGTATGGGAAGCATGTTCTGCTCTTAAGAAGACTCCAGCCTCAAATATCACAGCAATTGGACGAGCAATGACACAAGTTGCTGTTTCAGTGAAGGATGTTATTCGTGAGATGAAAGAACTCAAGCCAGCTTCATTCAATCTGAGAGACAAAGCTTCTGATGGTACTTCTCCTGAAGCAGAAAGCATGCTCCATGATGATAATTCAAGTGATGATGAACTAGGTAATGACTTGTCAGCTGAAGAGATGAAAGTTGCTCAATCAGCAGTTCTGGTTGTGTCTGAGACGGTTCTAGTCATAAAGGAACTTATCCGTACAATCACAGGTTTACTTAGGCAGGAAAAACCTGATGATAATGGGAGTTTTGTGGATTCTTTGGAGAAGTTATTGAAGTTATGTCAAGAAATTGGAGCACAGATTGATGAGCTTGGAGCTTGTCTTTATCCTCCACAAGAAGTTCCCGCTATAAGAGCTGCCTTGGAGAAAATATCAAGCATTATCAATGAAGTACTGGCGTTGGTAGAAAGTTTCGTAAGCTTTTCACAAACCTTTTCACAGGCATGCAGTGGATTGAGGAATTCAATAAAACAAATGGAATTTGAACTAGACAACTCCTATACCGCAGATATAGATGCCAGATTGCTGAATGTTGTTGTCAAGGATTAGTAAGTGGCTAAATGAATACACTGGAGACCAAATCAAACGAATAACGTGTTATTATTCTATTAATAAATTTTTACCTTGGTAATTTCAAATGTGGCTAAATGTACATAACAATAGCTTTGGAAAGATTTCCCTGCTAAGTAAACTAATCCACTGTACTAACGCATTTCATTACAAAACCAGGAAAACTCTTCCTCATTGGTACAAGTCAAACTGGAGATAATCCTCCTTCCCTTTGATACCCAATTCACTCCCAAATATCATGTGTGACAAATATACAGGGGCTATTCATGCCCTCTAAATGCACTGACAGCTTACAACATGTAAAAATATCAATTATCGGCCCGTGAGCTTGACCACCCATGCACCCCCCAGATAAAGACCTAGAAGGGGTGCTGCTAGAAGCATCTGAGTAAGAGGATCGGTTGACGGTGTTAGTACAGCAGCTGCAACGACTGCCCCAACAACCACGTATCTCCAAATTGATAACATTTGGTCTCCTGACACCAGACCGACTTGTCCAAGTAGGAATTGTATAACAGGAACCTGTAGATTGGGACAGTTTGATCATATTATCAAGCACATCATAGAAAGTTGCAAAATGTATAGCTTTTGCCTGAAGAATTTAGTCATTTAGATTATGGTTTTTCCATATATTGTCGAAATAGTGATCTTAAAAAGGAAGAAAATAGACAAGCCTAGAAGGGAATCTGAAAATGCATCAATGGATTATAGGAGTACTTTTAAATAATAAGAGAAAATCCATGCATAAATCAGCAAAGAAAAGCATGCTTTATTGTTTAGAGAATAATTAAAATGAAATCCTATTTCACAAAATGAGAGAATGAAACCAGTTTCAAACACTGAGGGTGCTAACGTTGCATATAATCTTCCCTGTTTGTAATTTAAATATATATACCCATAGACAAGTGCAGGAGAGAGGCGTTGAAAATCAGAAAATTTTACCTGGAAAGATAGCCCTGTGCTGAACATAAGCACAAGCACAAACTCAAAGTACTGGTCGATGGACCATAATGATTCCACAACCCCTTCTGCATAACTAACGAAAAAGTTCAAAGCTGCTGGAGTCAAAACCAAATAGGAGAAGGCGATGCCTGCATAAAAAAGTACAGAAGAGCCTAAAACAATTGGCCCCAAAAACCTTCTTTCAGCTCTTGTTAAACCTGGGAGAACAAAGGCTATAATTTCATACAGAATAATTGGGCTTCCCAGAAGAAGTCCACAGTATCCTGATACCTGCGGGGCACCAAAAAATTGTTCCTATCAGTATCAGCAATAGCTTACTCGATATCTAAATTAAAACTGAACAAATTTTGACTTCAAGAGGATGACGGAATGGAACTCAGATACAATGGATGCTACAGTTGTCGAAATTCTTTTTGATAATGGATCAAAGAATGCTGGTAAAAGATAAGAATGTCAAGATGACTGATAACACAAAAACCACAATAGACTGAAGGATCCTCATTTCACCCGCTCCGCCAAGTATCGCACCCAAATGGAGCTAGTAAAATCTGATCCGTTTAAAGATGGATGGGTAGGCATATATGCAAATCTGATCAGAACCTAAATGAACCCAATCCGCTTAGTTTTCATGTACGGGGGCTGATGGCTAGCTAGTGCTAAAAGGCCAAAGAAGTTGGTAACCTGATAAGAAGTCTCGATTAACAATGGCCGTAACTACAACGATCCTAAGGTAGCGAAATTTCCTTCTCGGGTAAGTTTCGACCAAAACGAAATTCTTTAAAAAAAATTGGATATCTTCTTGATGTTTTTTTTCTAGAAGAAAGCTCTTTTCAGTGATTACATATAAAAGAAAAGCCTTTTCAAGTGATTACATATATATAAATATATATATATATATATATATATATATATATATATAATAATAAATTTAACAACAGACCCCATCTGAACCCGTATCCAATCCAACGTTAGCAAGGGAAGGGGTAATCCAACAGATAATTAATTTTTGTTGGCGAAGGGGATATGGAATGTCACAAAAATCTGAATATATTAACACAACCCCATCTGAACCCGTATCCAATCCAACTTAGCAGGGAAGGGGTATCCAACAGATATTAATTTTTGTTGGCGAAGGGGATATGGATGTCACAAAATCTGATCGGAACCCTATCCAAGATCATCTCTTTAGTGAATGTAGGGTTTGCAACCATTTAAGCAAATAAAACCTAATAGAATTCAATTTCAAATTGCCAATAGACATCCTTCTCTCTCAAAAGCTTTATAGTTCTTTTCTCACTGTCCAGCTGCTCCAGCAGGGAATCTAGAATGCAAAACGGGAGTGGGAGGGGCAACTAGAATTTATTCTTTCTAATTTTGTATAAGGGAAAAACAACAAAGTGATCCACAAATATCACAAAGTTTCTAACCTATATAAATGCCTTATCAAGGCATCACCATATCAACATCATAATATGCAAGGGTAATTGTAGAAAGTTTGGCCCCTCAACAATTGACCATGGCAACTCATTATCATTTTCTCACATAAGCATTACGTGATCCATTACCATTTGTTTTCCATCTTTCTTCTATATTTTTTTGATAGAATCTTGCATACTTCGTTTGCACTAGGGTTACAGCCCCAGTGGTAGCAAAACTTTACTACCAACCAAAATAAAGAAAAACAAGGTCAGGGGGTAGCATAGATGCATGATCTTGTTTATCAGCCGATATATATACACACGAGAGAGAGAGAGAGACAGAGAGAGAGACATTTAAGAATTCAGAGAAATTCTAACTTAAATGTTGTCTACGACTTCTATTGTCAACAGATCACACTTTTTTCCATTCATCAAATTAAATAAACAGCAAGTGCAGCTATCTATCCCCCTAACCTCCATCTGCACTCCCCCAACTCAACAAAGCAATTATTGGACTTGTGGCCTTGTGATGGAGATTCCAAATATTACTGTTAGGTTATCCCCTTAAAACATCAGTGTTAGAGAATAAGACCAATAGACAATAGCCAAAATATGCAACTGAGGTCGACAACAGCAAGCACTGTCTTTATTTTCCACAAATTCCTGCGAGTTGGTACCAGATCTAAAAAATTGGGGTTGATTCCATTACGAGGAATTTATATTCCATTAGCAAAAGCCATTACAAATAGGAAGGCAAAATTCAATTGAAGCAGCAGAAAACGAGCAAAAGAAGCAAAACAATCCATATTTCATTATTATGAAAAATATAAATCTTTGTGATTTCATCCCTTCAAATTCAGAACAAGGCATACCTACAACAATGTCCAGACAAAAATCATGACACAGATCTAGATGCCTCATGAAGAAAATACAAGCTGCAAATTTGGCCGAACAATGCAGCACTATTTCCTCATTTTGTCTGATATGAAAACCAATTCCCCTCTTTTCTTTTTGCCTTTTTTAGTTTGGGCTGGCGATTTTAGATAATTGCAACTGACAAAACAACATGCACAATCCTTAAAGCAGGAAAAGTTTATTGTTCCATCTAACCTTTAAAGTAGTAAAGAAAAACTCCCCAGGAGCTAGTTGCAGAAATCGTACACCCTGTACTTTAACAGGAGCTTCAAGAAGCATAATAAGTTCCTTCGAAAATGCGAAGCATCCCAAGATAGCACCTCCAACAGCCAAAACTGACACAAATATCCTCTGGCGCAGCTCTTCAAGATGATCGAATATACTCATTTCTTTATCATCTGGAAGGAGCTCTTTACTTGGATACAGGAAATTATAGATTGCACTTCCTTCAGTATCTTGACCAAAGTTTTCTTGTGAGCTGTCAAGCATATCTGTAATGTTCATAAAAAAGGAAATTGATACCAGTACTTATTTGAACATGTATAAATTCAAATACAATGATCAAGACCATAGTTGTCAAATTGAGATTCGATTCCAGAATCAGAATTCTTTTTTAGAATCGAGAATCAAGAATCGAATCGAATTGTAAGATTCAATGTAACTTTTCAAAATTAATTAAAAATAAAATATATACATTCATGTACATATTTGTACCTGCAAATGTATATATAAGATGTGTCATTTTGCATGAAAATTGAATTGAATCGTAAAATTTGAATAGTTTATCATAAGATTCTAATAACACTGGTCAAGACATAGATGAGACTAAGAGCTATTACACAGCTATAGATATAGAATGTTTCTATCATAAACATATACAAATTTAGGTCTTTACAGAAATTGCAGATTGTAGAAAGTTGCACATATAGTTTCTTGTAAAAATTTGAACTTTAGATAAACATGTTTGAGTTCTGATCATTCATAATGTATGTTTAAATCAAACATAATTTACAAACAATCAGGTTGTCATTAAACAAGAATACAACCAAGCATGATCCTTCAATTTCATTGCTCACTATGTTAACCACAGCTGAAATACACTCTTCTTTTCATCAAAGCAGTTAAATATAATTCTTAACACTAATGGGTACACGAAAATAGTGTTCATAAACATATTTTCATTATAAATCAATCAAATAAAAAAGAATTAGCTAAAAATTCCAATTCACAACGAAAAAAGGAAGAGCGAGTTCATATAATTGAAACTAATTATATGTTCTTACCAGCCCTATCCTCAAGAGCGGAGCTAGTAGTAGGTGAATCCAACTGCTTCTCGCCAATATCATCATCAACAGCAGCGAAACAAACGACTTTACTGAAACTTCTCGTGTTAGGCGAACCATCGAATCTCAATCTCCCTCTCCTCAAAGAAGAAGAAGAAGAATTATTGTTGAATTGCAAAGAAGCTGGTTGCTGTTGGTGGTTTTTAATAGAATCAAAGCACCGATAGAAGCAGCCATGGAGCTGCAAATGGGGGATGAGAGCTGTGGCTGTGGTACCCATTCCTCACTATTTTGTTCCTACAAATAAAAATAAAATAAAATAGAAAAATATGAAAATGGTTCGCCGTTGGTTTTACACAGGAGCGTGAAGGAGCAATCTTACACGGTGGTGAATGATTGGCTCTCATTGTTACAATTTCTTCTGGGTGATTGATATTTTCAGATTTTTCAATTCGGGCTCATTTTAGCTAAATATAACCGAGATTGCTATTCCGTGACATTGGCATAGGATTACTCGACATGAAAAAATAAATAAAATTTTTAATTGAAAAATAAAATAAAAATGGATAAATAATCAATTTGAATGTTATTATTTTTTATTCATTTGGCAATCCAATAAACTGTGGATTACACTGTGTGGATAGAAAGATTTTCGAAATTGACAAACTCTTGAGACAAATTGGTAAGAAGATTCTTATTGTATAACTCTTGCAACAAATTGGTAAGAATTCAAGACAGACAAACTCTTGCGACAAATTGATAAAAATTCTTATTATATAACTTTTGACAAATTGGTAAAAATTAAAAACCGATAAACTCTTGCAACAAATTGATAAGAATTCTTATTGTTGAAGTCCTGTAACAAATGAATAAAAATTCTTATTGTTGAATTCTTGCGACAAATTGATAAAAAATCTCATTGTTGGAGCATTGTTATTGAAAGAACTTGACAAGCTCTTAGACAAATTGATAAAAACTATTACAATAAAAAAAGATTAGAACTGAACCAATTAGTATAACAAATCAATAATAACTCTTATCACCCGAAATTGAGACTTAGGTCAATAACAGCTAGTAAAATAAAGCAATTAGGTTTGCAATGACATATAACTGAAAATAGTAAATACAAGAGAAGCAATTAAGTTTGGATCGATGGGAGTGGTTTCAACCAATTGAACAATTCTCAAAGCATCTCAATTCTAATTCAGGAGAGCCTTCAACCATTTATATCGAGCACCTCCAGCAAACCAAATCGAAAGTTTGGTTTTGATCATCTGCACAAGCAGAAGTAGGAGTCATTGCCTTCTTTGAGGTATCTCTGGTTCTCTTCTTTTTTGGATTGATTTGACATCACAATATTTTATTCCACCTCCCTTTTCTTTATTTACGTACGATAGCCAGTTTTAATTGTAAAGCTTGACAAATGTAAAAGAAAGAGAGATTATCCATGGGATGTGGCTCGGCAATGCAGCGCGGGGAGATAACTTCGAATTACATCAGACGCTTCTGATAATGAGGCGGTAGTTTACACAGAAAAAAAAAAGAAGAAAGAGACAGATGACTAAGAAAATGTAAAGAAGAAAGACATTGAGCATGGTGATTTAACTCTGACCATTTGGACACATTATACAGAGATTTACGAAGGCCTAAAAACAACGGAACAAGAAATTAAAATTAGTGGAAGAAAGACAAAATAAAAAATTTTTAATATTTTATAAGATTTTTTTAAAAAAATTTTTTTAGAGGGCGGGACCCATCCCTAGAACTCCTAGCTCCGTGAATGACTATAACTATTGCTTAGGGATTTTCCACAAAAGGAAGATAATAAAATATTTGGAATTCTTAAAAAACTTGAGCAAGTTTCACCTCTCTTCTTTCCTTATTCTTTCTTTTTTATTTTTAAATATCAAATCAAAATTGAGTTTGAAATTTGTTCTGTGTTTCTTCTCAAATCATATCAGAACAGGAAATTTGCATTTTCATACTAATTAATTAATTAATTAATTCTCTTTTTTTCATTATTTGATTCTTTATCGGTAAAGAAAAAATTAAATAAATATTGCAGTTCATGTGTTTTCTTCAGAATTTCTTTCAAATAACTAAAGAGAAATTAATTTTCTAAGAAAATTAAATTAGAAATTAATATGGTATGATATTCTTAACAATTTCAGCAAGTTGAACTTTCTTTTTTCCTTTTTCTTTCTTTCAAAAAAAAAAAATCAAATTACTTTGTTTTGTCCTTTCCTTTTATTATTGCGTAAGAACTTTTATTGCATATTGTCACGACCCATTTCCGTGGGTCGGACCGGCATTAGGCCCCAGGTAAGCTTAAGGCCCCCGATCAGCAAGTAACTTCTTTTTTCCTTTTTTCTTTCTTTCAAAAAAAAAAATCAAATTACTACTTTGTTTTTGTCCTTATCCTTTTTTATTGCGTATAGAACTTTATTTGCATAATTGTCACGACCCCATTTCCCGTGGGTCGGAACCGGCAATTAGGCCCAGGTAAAGCTTAAGGGCCCCCGAGGCACCCGGTAGGTAGTAAGCCTGAAACACTAAAACTTTACCGGCTCAATATAATTATATTGTTTATGTTAATACACGACTAATTGTATACAGTTTCTACAACTGCGGAGTCACTAACTAACATACATAGATTTTTATACATCTAGATACATAGCAAAATATTTATTGGTCTAGTAAAAATTTCTTTCTAACTCTGCGACGAAGGAACATAGCTTAGTCGAATTAAAGAGAAACTTTCGTCCTGGAAAATTAAACAAGATATGTGAGCTTTCTAAGGAGTAACATTATTGCACAACACATACATTCACACAAATGTATAAATATATATATATATATCAATCTAGTCATCCGACTAGTATATGCTCACGCAGCCAGTCACACAAAATGGCATGTCACCGGCACTCACAAACAATATCACCTTCAAATGGCAGGCTGGCACCGGCGACATCTCACAAGCACATATCCCACCTTCAAATTATCACTTCACGTGAATTAGTCATGGAGTCACCAGAAACCCCAGAATGAGCCGTCCCTCCAATGGACTCATCCTAGCTTACAGTCACAGGGAGCCCAATCCCCCATACTGGCCGACGGTCTCAATCCTCAACATATGACCAGCGCTCTCATTGTTTTTCTATCCTCTCTTTCTTTTTTGCAATAGCCAACAGGGAGGCAACGCCGGTCGGTCATCCATTCAAAATCTAGATCATCAGGCGCTCACAACAGGGCCACCCTGAAGGCAGCGATCAAATCTTAGCTGTCCGGTGCCGCAACGACGAGAAGCAACCTGTGTTTCACACGGTAACGGTAACGGTAGGTCGACCAGGGCGGCGCCAGTTATCCCATTACCCGCTTAACTGTAGAGGATCCCATGTACGGTACGGTATATTATAACGGTACGGTAATTCAGGATCCACTAACGGCTACGGTCTCACAAACCCATGGTGACCCAACTCATTCTAATTTCACACAAACAAAGCACAGCAAATATCACAACACATTAACTTCAAGTACTATGGCAATAAATGGCAACTGCATATACTAATCAATTTAAAACATTCATAATGCAATTGCAAAATAAGCTAGAATAAATATGTATAACAATAAACAAAGCAATGACAAATAAATAAGACCAATAGTAACAATAATAATCGAAGTAAATAAATATGTAAATCAATTAAATGAGTAATAAAGATAATAAAATAATCAGAGCATATATTTATTAAGTACCAAAGTTATAGACTAAATCTAACCTAAACTTATTAATTAATGTTGTAATTAAAGTTAATCTAAGTTTTATCGAAATTCGGGCGCACCCTCCCCTAAAAACAATACTTGCATCTACCTGTTTAAACATACACCATTTAATATACTTTAGCAATTAATCAACATACAGCCCATACATCGGGCAACTCAACCATCACACATACCCGTCTCAAAATAGCATATACATTCCACAATTAATTCTTACTTAATATTCTTTCATTGATTACCTAGCACGAATTTATTTAAATACTGACTTCAATGAGTTCAAGTCGGAATTATGTACACTATCTTCCTTTCTTCAAGATTATTAGCAAAGGACATCAATTTCTGAAGTTTAATTTAAAATGTTCTGTAGATTGACTTCACTTTAAATAGACTTACCCAATACAATCGCGGATATGCTCTTAGGAATTCATAACCACAACCATTCTCTGCTTTCAATTAGCGGCCGATACTCATAAGAGCTAACTCCGCAACAACGCCATTAAGATAAAAAATCCTTAAATTCCAGACTTAATCATATTACTAGCAAAATTTCAGTTTAATAACCAACAGATTCCTACATTGTGAATATTAACCGTTTCTTAACTCTCATGCGAATTATTCAAACTCATCGAACATGAACAAATATAGTGCTGCCTTTAAGTTTATCCACCAAATTCAATGTTTTACAATAGTTAATCAATTCCATTTCTCACATAATCATTTTGTGTTCATGCTCCTTCTAAAAAAAAAATAGACTGCTTAAATAATTAGTTAATTGCTACCATAGTTAAGAGATCCTTGATTTCTTTGCAAACATTTAGTAAGTTTAAGCAGAATAATCTACCGTATTTCCTATGTACAAGGATTTAGTTATATATCATTAAAGCGTAAAGATCCAAAACTTCCCATCAAAGTTTAGCTTGTATACCATTACCTTTTACTATACCTAAATCTCAAGCTATTGTGGAGCCCACACTTAGCACAGCCAGCGAGAATCGCAAGGCAGCGCAGGCGCTAAAATACTACTGCCAAATATAAGGGAACTTTAATTCTTCACAAAATATCTATAAATAGAAGCAAAGACAATCTAAAACCATTCTACTATAGGACTTTAGGTTTATATACCTATTTAAAGAGTACAAATGAATTTCCTATCATAATTGATATACATAACTGAATATGTTAAATTTTCATTACAATACGTCATTATATATCTCAAATCCATTGCAACTAAAGACAAATCCTTCAACTAAGATCAAAGAACTCATGAATTAAAATGAAGAGGTTCATAATATGGTTTACCTAGTTGCAAAACGGGCTGGAACTTGAAATTTTCCGGTTGAAATGACCGGCAGTAGCAACAAGGCACCAATCAAGGAAAGGTGGCCGGAGGCACGCTAGAGACGCGGAGAGAACGTAGTCCGGCCGTCCTTGGCTGGGCTCCCTAGAAAATGGAACGAGAAGCGTTGAAGAAGGCTACCGATCGGCAAAATGAAGTGTAGCTCGTTGTCCTTCCTCTTTCTCACTGAATCGCGAGCTACCAGTCACCAGAGGTGGAGCAACAGCGTTCGAGGGGTGCTGGAGACGAGGAGGGGTGCTGGAGACGAGGTGATTGGCCGGCTATGGGCTGGTGTCGCCGGAAAATCGAGGAGAAGGCTGCGACGCGACTTCCCGATCGAGGCAAAGTCACAGCTCCTCCTGCGACATTGCG